AAAAAAACATTAGGGCATCAGAATACTTGAAGACAGAAGTAATAAGTGATTTCAGGTAGATAGAAGGAAAAAAGACAGCATTTATGGCTAATCAGTCTTCATATTTTCCTCAGATATTACTTGGGTAGTGTCCAAAAATATCTTGTCCTGTTGCCTTGAGAATGCTGTGTGTACACACTGACACTGGGACACAGGAGAGCTGGTCATAAAAACAAGAGCTCACACAAGGCAGCATTTAGGAGGTTGTGTCAAAGGTTTGTTCTCAAGATACTGTGAGGAATCCACATTTTGTCCATACTGTTTCTTGAATTGCTTGTGTTGCTGGAGGAAATGATCTGTGTTTCACTGAAAACTTGAAAGGAGTGGCAAGGGTGGGATTTTTTTATTGTTTTGTTTGGCTTGTTTTTTTAATTCACTATGGCTATGTTTATCTCTTGATTTAGGACAAAACATTTGGCCTAAAGAATAAAAAAGGTGCAAAGCAGCAGAAGTTTATCAAGGCTGTGACTCACCAGGTGAAGTTTGGTCAGCAAAATCCCCGTCAGGTAAGCATTTATTGTCCAGTGTTTATTGTAATTTTAAGTGGAAACAAGTCTGAATCTATTTGGTGAACTCTTTGGTCCAAGAAACTGAAATTCTGAGCCACTGCCTGCTACTTTGCTCTTCTGTATGATGAAATAAAATGAGGTACAACGGTTAGATTATACTTAATCAGAAAACGTGGATTTAATGGAAATATTATAATGGAAATGATGCAGGTCTCTTATTCTCTCAGTGCTGGGGAGGCTGGTTGTTAATTATTTACAGAGCTTTCTGTTCTATGAATAAGCCTGTAGAATAATTACATTTTGCCAGCTAAAGTCATGAGGTCATGTTGCATTCCTTGAATAACATAAGGATGAACTAACAGATGTCAGGTACAATTTGAAAAGTAAAGCTGATATTCAGGTCATTAGATCTAGGAATTTCTTGTAGTGGAAAAGATTCCTTGGTGTCACTTGAAAAACACTGGTGGTGTTCAAGCAGTTCTTCTGAAACTTGTCCATGAAATCCCTGGATCTGTGGCATGTATAGGAATACCAGTGTGTAAATGAGCCAGCCTGGGACTGCTGCTGGTATACAGGAAGAGAAAGAGCAAAGCAGTGTGGAGGGGGCTAAAAGGAAAAGACTTTTTGCACAGTTCTGGAAGGAGCTGCCCTGAGTAGTTGCACTGCAAAAGAGCAATGAATCTCTGGCTCTCAGTGACTTTCCCACCTTAAAGGTGGAGTAGAGGTCACTCTGACACTAAAGGTATCTGCCAGCATCCCACTGACAGATTTGCAATCCCTCCTGTGTGACAGGTCAGTGGACACAAGGGCAGCAATTCTGAGCCTTCCAGGCATCACAGGGTCTTTCCTTTCCCCCCTCAAAAACTAATTTAGAATGATTGGCTGTTTTAACGTGCAGTTCTTGGGAAGTCAGTCCTGGCATTCTAATTTTACATTTGTAACGTTGAATTTGGGGTTGTTATAGGCTGCTCAAACAGAAAGTGAGAAGAAATTGAAAAAAGAAGACAAGAAGAAGGAATTACAAGAATTAAATGAGCTCTTCAAGCCTGTGGTTGCTGCACAGAAAATTAGCAAAGGTATGACTGACTGATTTCTCTGCATTTATATTCTCTTATTCATGTAGCTACTTGAGGTAGAATAAACCTTCGAAAACACCAGCTGATATTTTAATAAAGTAAATGTGACTGTTTCCTTCCCCATCTAGTGTACCAAGGAGTTTGTCAGTAATTATTTGACCTTTTTTTGGAAGTTATCTGGGGTCATTAGATCATTAGAATATCAAAAGCTACGCTGATATTGACTGGGAGGCTGAAGATACTTTGATGTTTCTGGTTCATCAGTTGGATGTTTCTGGATGTGTAGCATGATTTTTGTCTGTGTGATGGTATTTAAAGCAGCCTGTCTCCTCAGGGAAGTGTGAACATCCAGGTATTGCAAGGAATATAAGATGGTAACTGTTGTTTTCACAGAAAACTGCTTCTCAAATCAGAACAGTAAAAAATTTCCAATTCTTTCTGTCTGACCTCACAATTAGCAGTGGTGCTCGGTTTTGGAAGCGTGGTTTGTCTGAGCTTGGTTATTGAACAAACTTAGTTTTGTGATGAAATCTTAAGTTTTTGTTATAACAATTCTGTGTTTAACACTTGGAGGAAACTCTACAATTGGCTGCCATGTGTGAGGAAAAAACGTAATACCTGTTGGAGTGAACTAAATGTTTTCAACTCTCTTCATTTTCTGGAACACACAGAATCATGTGCAGTAATTTTTGACAAAAGAAGTGTGATTTCCATGCATGTTTTTAAGACAAACCTGATACTTGCTCCTTGTGATCAGGAGCAAAGGACAGTTTCCTGTTTATGATCTGCAGTGATCAGCTTTCTCTAAATAAAGTAGCTTTTGACTTCAAGTGATTTCAGAAGGCTAATGTTGCCCAGATTTTTAGATTACATTTTAAACAGGAGTTGCTGTACCTGCTTTTGTCACTGGTGAGTCTCACCAAGAGTGAAAGCAGAAGGGGAAAAACTAGAGCTTAAAATCTTATATGTGTATTTGCTGAATATTACAAGTCAAGTATTTCTCATTTGATCATGTCTCATAAATACATTTCTCTCTACTTTCATTGCTTTTCCTAATGACCTCCTAATGGTCAAATAATTCTTTAGTGCCATGGCTTTTACTTAACCTGTAGTTAGATTGATTGAATTGTTTGTTCTATTATAAAAGTTGTTTACTTTGGGGACTATGAACCCATCTTATTTCTATTACTGAAGAAAGTGGTCTGAATGGGCACAGGTTAAATTGTTATAATTTTTTCTAGTGTTTTCTTGATCTGTTGGGGAAAGGGTAACATTCAGAAGATGCTTTACTGTGTATTAGAGACAAGAATGGGGAAGAAGTTGCATAGTGATCTCTTATGTGTTGTATTATATAAATAAATAATTTGCTCAGACACACTGCTGTCCATATGGCTTTAAATAGTCAAGTGCCAGCTTTGATACTTAATGCAAATATCATGCAATAAAAGTAAGTATGACATGTTATTTTAAGAAAGCATATATATTCACGTTATTTTAAAAAGGCATTTTCATTCTCTATAAATCCTAGGTGTTTTTCTCAGAATTTCTAATGTATAGATTTTGCTGAAAAATAATGTTAAAATATAAAAACTTTCTTCACTCAGGTGCTGACCCCAAATCTGTAGTTTGTGCTTTCTTCAAGCAAGGACAGTGCACTAAAGGAGACAAGTGCAAGTTTTCTCATGATTTGTCTTTGGAAAGGAAGTGTGAAAAACGGAGTGTCTACATTGATGCCAGAGATGAAGACCTTGAGAAAGGTAAAATACTTTTAGAAAGTTTGATCCTCAAGTTATATGATCTGACCTTCTGGATGCCACCCTCCAACCTTACCTTTTTTTCAGTGGTCATTTTTTTTTAATTTCTTTTCCCTTGTTCATGCTGAGTACTGTACAGATGGAATGACACATTATTTAGTCTTTAACTGAAACACATTCTATGCATTTCAAAACTCAGGCTTTTCAGGAAATTGTCTTGTGAGTGGCATTGGGGAATTTGAAAACTTTAAGAGCCTGCATTTATTTTTCATTGTATAAGCTAACTAAAATAGAAGAATTGCATACTTTATAAAACTGTTACTAGGCAGAAAAGCAACTTGACAGCAGTGTTCAGTACTTGGAATTTTTGTGCAACCATCTGTTTTCTTTTTCTAGATACAATGGACAACTGGGATGAGAAGAAGCTGGAAGAAGTGGTGAACAAGAAGCATGGTGAGGCAGAAAAGAAAAAACCCAAAACTCAAATAGTAGGTGGTCTGTCTTTCTTTTCTTTTCTTTTTTTTTTTTTTGTAATTGAGCTGTAGTAGAGGGAATTAAGTGCAGACTGGTATTAGATATGTTAATCTAAAGATTTTGGATGGAATCTCATAACTATGTTCTGAGGGCTGGGCTGATAGTATCTCTAATAATATATGTTTTTAAAAAAGGCAGAAAGCCCACAACCCCAAGGCTCTTTTCAGTCACTGTGTGTTCTCATGTAAGTTACAAATGGATAGTAGGTAAAGTGCTTTCAAAATAGAAATGCTAAAGGACTCAGTAATAATGTAAGGCAACCTACTTGGTTAGAAGATTCACATATTGTAATTAATTAAGTCTATGATCTCATTGCAGTGACTGCCATATATATTGGCTTATTTTTGTACTGGGTGACATACAAGCACTAGAAGTTTCAAAATTTTCTCCTTTGTGTTGGAATTTGCTGATTGAGTCATTTGTAATTCCTGGGCTCTAAGTTCAACAATATTCTTCAGTTTTGCACTAAATGGTATAATGTTTTAATCCTTTTCTTGTTCTTCGTTTACTTTTTTAATAGCAATGCATGTCACACGTTCCTTCTGTTTTGAGCACAGCTAACTTTTTGAATTACTCATCTTCTGGGGTGTAAAATGCTGGGGATGAAAAGAGAAAACACAGGATTAATCACCATTGTTTTATACAGGTCTGCAAATATTTCCTTGATGCTATTGAAAACAACAAATACGGGTGGTTTTGGGTCTGTCCAGGAGGAGGAGACAACTGTATGTATCGCCATGCTCTACCTCCAGGCTTTGTATTAAAGAAAGACAAAAAGAAGGAGGAAAAGCAAGATGAAATTTCCTTAGAAGACCTAATAGAAAAAGAGGTAAAGTTGTCAGACAGGTACCTTTTGGTGGTAGTTGTTTTTACTGTTGTTCTACTGGGAAGAGACAGATGTGAAAGACCTGCTAATTTCTAATTAAAAACTGTAAGATGTTGTTACAGCTGTAAGAGCCAGGGGGAAGATGTGTACTATTGGCTCATGGCTTTGTTTAGAAAGCATTACCTAGTGAAGAGAACTAACTATAGCAGCATATGCAGCTGTTGCTTATGCTTTTTTAGGAGCCTTCTATTTCTTACTGCTATTTCTCATTTCTCTATTACAACAAAGGCTTCTGGGGCCTTTCTCATCCCCAGCTCAGTCTCCTTAGTTCTGCCATAACTCTCTAATGAGGAAGCAACACCAAGAGAACAGGGCCTTCTGAAGGTGTTGCTGCTCTGCTTATTTCTGTCCCCATTGCTTGGCAGTGTCATTGTGACAAGAACTGAGCTATTATTATTACTTTCTTTCCCCCTTCACTTTCCCTGTTAACTTCCAGGTCAACTCATCTCACTAACTGGAAAATCACGTGTTGAGTCAAACAGTAAGATGATGGTGCAGGTTTGACAGTGCTAAGAGTCAAGAAAGAATTGGAAAGAAATGCTTGCTATTGGTTCCTGGAAAAGTGTAATTAAATTTTAATTTGTTAGAGCCTTTGGAAAGAGTTTCTAGCATTAATCAGCCTCTTTCCTTGTGACAGCGTGCTGCCTTAGGACCAAATGTTACCAAAATTACTCTAGAGTGTTTTATTGCATGGAAGAGAAGAAAAAGACAAGAAAAAATTGATAAGGCTGAGCAAGATATGGAGAGGAGGAAAGCAGATTTTAAAGCTGGCAAAGCATTGGTGGTAAGTTCTACAGTCCATGTCTTAATGTAAGGAGAGGGAGTAAATACAGTTTCCTAATAAGGTAGCTGGCCTGGAATTGCTTGGCTTTTTTTTTGGTGTCCTTTTATTTTCCTTCCTTTTTTGTGGTTTGGGGTATTTTTAAGCAGTATAAATTCCTTGAAGTAATACCTGAAGATTTCTTCTCCTGTGAACAGATTAGTGGGCGTGAAGTATTTGAGTTCCGGCCAGAGCTGGTTGATGCAGACGATGAAGAAGCAGATGACACCCATTATGTTCAAGGAGCAGGAGATGATGATGAGGTAAAGAACAGGATTAAATTCAAATTTGCATTCAAATTTGAAAGCTTTTCATTTGAGAACTCTTACAGTGCAGTTAATAAGCTTGGTTCTTAATTTAATACTGCCACAGAGTAGATTTGATCAGAATGTTCGTATCGAAGGTGGGAAAGGTTGTTGGCAATTGTGCAGAAGTGAGGACTTTTGTGGAAAAGCAGTTCCTGCAGAGCACCCTGGTGTATTTTTCAGATGGAAGACCCTGTGTGCATAAATGATGTGGATTTGAACCTGTATGTCCCCAAGGCAGTGGAGGAGACTGGTATTACAGTGGCTAGTCCTGAGCGATTCAGCACGTACACTTCAGTAGAAAAAGATGGTAAGTTCTTCACTGAGGCATCACTAACAGAGCATTGTTAGTTAGGAGATTGCCCAAGGTAATGGCAATTTGACTCCCCCACCCTTTTTAAACCAATAATTCAGTTCTGTTAGTGGTACATGTAGTTACTAAAGCAAAGGCTTATAGTAAATGCTTTGTACTTACCTTCTTTGTGGTCACTTCTAGTACGTCTCTAAGGGGCTTGTTCTAAGTTCACCTTTTTTTCTTTTTTTTGATTTTTGTAAACCATAGAATGAACAATATAAGAAAGATCCCAGCTTTTATTTGTTTGGTTTTTTTTTTCTATGTAGCTTGTAACTTCTTAGAACAAAGTCCTGATCTTTGTGCACTTGTGGAATGCATGCCCCGATCTTTAAGAGTAAGAGTCTTTCAAGTGCAGACATTGGGTAGGAGCAGCTCATTGTTTGACCCAGTTATGAAAATAGCAGTTTGAGGAGATGGGAGTTGGAGTTTGGTTTTGTTTTTTTTTAACCTGTTTTCATAACTGGTTATCCAGACCTGCATGTTAAGCAGGTACATGCAATTTAACCAATATGAATTTCAAATAAAGTAACTTCTACACAGTCTCAAAACTTGAAAGCAGGTTCAGTAGGATTGTGAGTTCGAATTGGTGATTAGGAAACTTGTGACACTGAAATCCCTAAGAATTATGTTTATTTTCAGATAATAAATTAAGTGAAGCTTCTGGTGGTGATATAAACAGCAGCGAGCAAAATGATTTAGAGGAAGATAATGATGGAGATGGGGAATTGGAAAATGGAGTAATTGATGCTGTTCCAGTTGATGAAAATCTGTTTACTGGAGAGGACTTGGATGAACTAGAAGAAGAACTAAACACTCTTGATTTAGAAGAATGAACTAAAAAGCTCAAGTGAGGAATTAAATCTATGTGACAAAGTGAAAACTGACTACATTTTTTCTCCTTTTTGAATAGAATTCTTAAACAAGATGTTTTTGGTTATGCAGCTGAATATGATGGGCACGTGGTATCCCAGGAATGTTTTCCTTCAATCTCATCTACTCCAGTCTTGACTATGCTCACAGTAAAACTTTCAGAGTAGGTCAGAATTACTCAACAGCTGAATTTGCAGACAGTGAGATTAGAACTTTCAACTAAAAGTAAGAAGTGTAACTGCTTTGCCAGTATGCAAGTGGGCAATTTGACACCAGGTACAGTATAAAAATCCAAGTATTCATTCTTCACAGAAGTTGCATTTTTATTAGTGATTGGTGTTGATCTAGAAACTGCCTGAAGTGGTTTTTAGGCAGGACACTCTAATGGAGTTGATGCAGATTATGCTTCTTTAAGTGGTGATTAGCTTTACTTGATCAGCTGGATACTGAAGATTGTCAACTGATAGATCATACAATACAATGTGGTGCCCTCTGTTTAAAATATTTTAAACTTTCTCACCACCTTTTGCCAATAAATCTGTAAATAAAAACTATCAACTTTAAAATACCTGTGTTGATTTTTCTCTGCTGAGTTAGGATATCAAACCAAACCGTTAAGAACTGGATTTTCTAATAGAGTGGTAAATGTTTTTCTCTGCAGTCTTGATACAGAAGTGATGATGTTGGCTTCAGTTAAATTTGGACTACCTGTAATTACAATTTTTTTGTCTACACTTGATGCAGTGTAAAATTCAGCAGCCAGCTTTTCTCCCTTCCTGTTCTTCCTTCCTGCCCACCCGTGAACTGATGTGATACCTGCTGTGCATCACTCCCTGCCATTCCAACCTCCTCCTTTCCCCACTGTCTTTTGTAGACTAGTGAAGACTCCAGGCTCTGCAGAGCAGGGATGTTGAGGTCCAGACCATGCCTGGCTTGCCTTTGGAGTGCTGGAAATAGCAGGAGGTTGTGCAGGGCTGAGTTGCCTGAGGGCAGAGCAGTGCTGTCAGGCTGCCATCCACTCAGTGTGTCCTTTCCCAAAGGATTGAGGCCCTGCCATAAAGGTTTCTCAGTGGTGGTGCTTTCACAGGCTGTGTCTCTTTGCCATAATACCAGTAATATCTGCAACAATATTGCTGTACTAAAGATACCATTTGTATCAATTTTTCTAAAGCTTTTAAAGTGCTACTTAAAAGCCATTAAGAGTCGAGGTGTTGTTAGTGAGCTCTCCCAAACTGCTTTTGGGTGGGAATATTGGCTTTATAATGGTTATTTCTGGTACTGCTGAATTGACTCTTGTACCCTGAATGCCATTTCTAAATTAGCTGACTTAGACTTTTTTTTGCCCTTTTTGGGATCTTTGTGGAATTCGTTTTCTCCTGTAGGAACAAGAAGCAGTACTTGGGAGAAAGAGGCCTGCAGAACTTGACTTCTAAATGTAAGTGTTTAAGGAAAAGCTAAATATCGGATGGAACTATTTATTTATGCAGATTTTCTCCCCGTGGCCATAAATAAACAGTGTTGACAGATTGTTGTATTATACTGGCCAGCAATAAGATGCCTGGCTATTGGGACACTTCAGAATGCAATTCATTTGAATGTATGTTGCATAATTTTTCAAAGTTGTATATTTTAAATGGGAATAAAAGTAATTTAATCATTATCAAGGATGAGAATGGCTTTCTATATGTTGTGACTTAAAGGCTGTTTTTTTGCATATAAATACTCATTTCTTTAGTACTGATCTGCTTGACAAGTATAAATAGCTTAAGCCTTTGCCAAAATTATGTGTTTGTTACTTAAAATTTGTATTTTACAGTGGAGGAATGACAGGATGACTGATACTAATTTCAGCTAATAAAACACAGATGAGCAGAAAGAGAGTGTCCTTTTGGGTCTAAAGGGCTTGGTTGTGGTGCACAATTCCTTTTGTGCAGGTGTTGGTTAAGCATTAGGACAGTCACCTTGCATAGTCCTGAAATACATTGAATATCCATGAGTTAGTTGAAGAAAACCTGATTTTTCCTAGGCAGGAGTTGTTGACATATGGCTTCATGTGGGCAAGAAACAATAGTTCTCTGTTCCTGTTTGGTTTTTACCCTCTTTGCTCTCAGCTTACCTTGACTGAGCTTGTTCTGGCCCCTTGGCTTGGTTGCTCTGCCTGGATTTCCACCTGTGAAAGCAGTGACTGCTTTTAGAGAGTTCCTTGTTAGTGCTCATTCAGACAGACTCCTAAAGGTGAGGTGCAATGTGTTGCTACATGTTCCTTCTGCTCACAGATAGGCTTGAATATAAAATGCTAAAGGTCCTGAATTTTCAGAGTTAAAGAAGCCCAAATTTGCAGCTGACGGGGAGTTTCAGACAATAAATGTCAATTAAAAATGAATGCCAAGGCCTTGCTTGGGGTAGGTGAACTATTAATGTTTTGGAAAGGAGCACTGTGATAGGAGGGAGTTCACCTGGGTATGACATCACTAAGTTGTTCCTGTTGATGCAAACTTCACCAAATTAGTCTTGATATCAAGTGAATGAGTCACTTCTGGAAAAACGAGATATAATCTGAATCCTAAAATAATAATGTTTTCATTTCAGTGACTGTCCGGTTATTATGGGTCAAAAATAGAGTATTTCCTTGTTCCAGGAGCAGGAAGGCTCAGTTCAGGACACACTCTGGGTTCAGGTCAGGCTGTAAAGCACCATGAGCTGGGTAAGTTTGTAGCCCTTGCAGCCTGGGCCCTGTTTGTGTCATCTTGGTGTTCTCCTACCTTAGCTGAGCACTCCATGAGCAATGGGATGGAGCTGTGGTTTGAGCATCTCCTGAGGGAACACGCTGGTGTAGCACTGCCTTCACAGCACCTTTGGCACTGGGCACCTGTGGGGACAAAAAACAATTTAAAAAAATGCTGCAGTAAAGCCATGCCTTTCCTTCCTGGTGTTTGCTGTTGTGGGGGTGGAGTATTTGTTGACTTTCAACTTGAGTGTATGTTAAAATCCCATTTCAGTCACGCACACAAACTGCTTGCCCTGCTGTAACTGGTCAGCTTTAAATTCAGTCAAGTTTGGGGGGTTTTCTGAGACCTGTATGATTGAATTTTATGCTTGTCACTGCTTTGTTATTCAGAGCTCTCTGCCTTTTTTTTTTCTTTTATAATAAACACTGTGCACAAAGGGCTGGAAAAAATTTGGTTAAAAATTAAAGATAAAAACTGACCTTAAATATTACATTATCTATGAGTTGTTTGTAATAGAAATGTTGCTGGTTTTTTAGTGGACAATACTCCCCAGCTGCTTTTTATCAAGGGGAGCTTTTACTATTGATAAACTTTGGACCAAGCAGTGGTACTTTTCTTGTCATAATAGCTTGTGCTTGTTTGGTGTGTTGGTTACAGAAAGAATGTACACATACAAACTAGTATGTTTATTCATCTTTCCTTTCACAGTTCTTTAGTCAGATATGGAATAATAAGTGCCAAAAAAACCCCTACATCTCAGAGATTCTGAATGCTGAGTTCTAATTCTTTTGCAATGCTAATGCTCCTTTTTAAAAACTACCTGAATGTAGTAAGTAATGCAGGCTTAAATATTTTGTAAGCTTATATATCTTGCAGATAGCCTACTCAGAAGTTTTACAAACAGTGTTTGTTATTCCTGTTCCCTGTGCTGCTTTGTAATAACTTATTGAAACTGCAGAGTGATCAAACAACTAAACTAAAAGATTAAGTCTTTGTTTTCCTCACAGTGAAATTACTGCAGCCCTAAGCTGAGAGGAAGGAATTGCTCTCATATGCAGATATCCCCATATATATATTCACCTGAAGTGTCTCAGGAGAAATACCCCCTGAATAACCTGAATAAGAATTGGAAATACAAGATCTGGGAAGGCCAGAGGAACTGCCCAAAAAACCTGTGATAGGAGCTGCACTGGATCAGCCCAAGAGCCTGTTTATCAAACTCCAAAAAGCAGAGCCATGGTGAGGGAGGAGGTAAGAAAAGCACAAGCCCCTGCACTGCTTGGGAGTGCTTGTCATATGGAGCTTCCAACAGTTCTTAATCTGTAAGGTTTCCTCTTCTAGATCTTACCCTGTGGTGGCTTTCTCTTCTCAGTGTCTTCCCTCTTTCTCCTTTGAATCCTTGTACATTTTTATCATCTTTTGGAGACTTGAGGGTTCCACAGCTCTGCTGCATTTTGTTTTGAACATGACTCCTATTGCTGTTAGATTTCAAGGGAAAAACACTTGAGAAAGTCATATCCTATGCCTTTGGCTTGATGCCAGCTAGAGAAAGTGGCTATAAAAAGAGGAGTTAATGTCTTTCAGTTGTGAAGAACACAGTCTCTTGATGTATTTCACTGCTAGAAACAGGGGGTTTTTTTTCCAAAATTAAAAGCTTTCTCTCTAAACATGCTTCATTTTTCTGCTACTAATGGGCAAAATAAAGGAAATGCTTCATGAATGAAGTATTTGAATGGAGTCTTTGCTTCTGGTTGGGTACCAGGGGTGTTTTATGTAGCTGTGACCACCTAAAGTGCTTTTGCAGTGATATCTGCAAATCACCCTTCTCTTTTTTCTCTCACACTAGTATTAGAGGTTCAGAAGAGACCTTGGCTTAGCCTGTCACACTTAGTTCTTCCCTTTCAATAGATGCTCTGTCTCTTCACAGAGAGCAGCTGTTGCTGGTGTTAGCAATAAGGCCAGGATGTTTTATTCATTTATGATGTTACAGCCCTAATATGTGACCACAATAGGCTCCTTCATAGCACATTATTGAAATGAATGCCAAAAATAATCAGTTCTTTCAATCATAAAACAGCAGCAGCATCTCATTTGTGTTTAGGGAAGGAGACCTCAGAGATAATCTCATTATCCTACATTTTTGATTTGAAAATGCTTATGGAGTCTTGTAATACATTTGGACATAAACTTGAGCAGAGCTGAATTAATACTGAAGAGATGTTCCTGAAGTTACCCAATGAGACTTTAAAAGCACAGTGGAGTCCTAAATTAAAGGAAGATGAAATAGAAAAGAAAGCATCACAGCTTTCCTTTATTTCCTTAAGGAAAGAAGAGGAAGCAATCCTGAAGGGAAGATAGGAGAGAATTACTATAAAGCTTACCAAGTCTAAACAATATTCTTTGGACAGTCAGCCATTAGGGAAGTGTGTTCTACAGATGCTGCATCCTTGGACCTGTGCTGGAATGAAACTGGGGGTGTAGCACATCTCTTGTAGAAATTCAGTTTACACCTTACATTTCTCAAGCCTCTAATGCATTTTGACAGGCTTGCTACTCTAGGGGAACTTTTGTCCTCTTCACATCTCACCTCCATTCCTCTTTTGTTCCTTGGTTTATCTTCTTGTGCTCTTAATATGGCGTATAAAGACTGGATTAAAGACATCACAGGACTTTGGTCTCTGCACAGTAACGCAAATCCATTGCAACTCTCATTCACTGTTTTCTACCAATCTTGGTGTCAAGTGGTTCATCTGTCTGCTTTGGGAGCAGTGGACTACTTCAGAAAGAGATTAATTGACCTCCACTATAAAAATTCCACAGCTACAACTTCAGGCCTC